TGTCAGGAGAGGGCACGGGAGGGGCCGGGCCTGAGCGCCCCCCGGGGGGCGGGGCCTGTGCGGGGCGGGGCTGCTGCTCTGTTGGCAGGAGGGGGGTGCGGCCGGAGCGAGGGGGCGGGCCTAGCTGGGACCCGGCTTTCCGGCGACCGCTATCCAGTCAATCGGGAGGCCCCGCCCCCGCGCCCTCCGCCCAGTACGGAGCTGCGGCTGCGCACATACCCGCCTTCGTGACGTCACAGCCCAGCCGGGGGGGGGGGGGGGGCTTCTTAAAGGGGCTGTGTCCCCCTGGGCGCCAGCGCGCTCTTACTCCTTAAGGTGTCCGGCGGCTGCGCGAGGACTCCCAGGAGGTTCAGGGCGCGCGCTCAGCCCTGAATTTAAACCACGTCCTGGGTTGCCAGCCTCCCCAGTCCTCCGTGCTGCGGGGCGGGGTCCCAGGGGAGCGGCGTGGGACGTGGGCGCCCGGCGGGCACCGTGCGGGGTGGCTGGGGCCGCGGTGACGCCGGGAGCCTTCGGGAGAGGCGAGTCCCCCGTGACGCGCTCTGCTCCACTCGCGTCCCCGACCCAGCGCCGGCCCTTCTGAAACCCGACCGGTGGGGACGCGTGCGCGGCCCACCGACGGCCGGACCTGGGCCGATCGGGAGCTGGCTGCACGCACGCGGCCCCTCGCCTTGGAGACCTGGCCTGGGCGTGCGGCCAGACCACCGGTGTGGACGCGCTCCGTGTCCGGAAGCAGGAGGGGCGTGGGACAGGGAGGGGACGCGGCAGAACAGCCTGGCACTCCTGGAGTGCTCTGACACCAGAAGGCCCAAGTGCCCCAGACCTGAGCAGCCCGACGGTAACATAAAGAGAGCCGCATCTGTCATGCTCATTTTCTGAGGTCTACTTAGAAAAGGCAAGCAGAACACTAAAATAAATCGTAATAGTGTATTCTGTGTAGCCAAATGTAAACAGGTATTATCACTTCAAGATGTAAACAGTATTTTGAAGAGATTTCTCACAGTCTTTGAAATCTTTCTGGATGGCACTGGTTATGTGTCCAGCCTATGGCTCCAAGCTATCAGTTAGACAAGGAGGTTCCAGAGAGCTGTCCAGCCAGGCCAAGGGAAGGTGAGGCCACACCAGCAGGCTCTGGCACCTCATCCTCCTTACCTGCAGATGTGATGATGCCCCTTGGAGCAAGACAACAGACAGGCAGTGTTCATCACCGCAATGGAAGAAACTACTGGTCAGCTTGTGTCCCTGGCCATGTGCTAAGGGCTTCTTTACTGGGCTTTACATTGAGTGTTGGTGTTGTGACCAGAAGCATGGACTGGCTCCCATCCAGACCTTACAGGTTACTTAGGAATTTTTTGTGTTGATGTAACTTGTAAATCTCTATTAGGTGCCATCAAGTTAGTTCCAACTCAGTGCATTGGCTTCAGTGATGACCCAGATTGCAGCAGCACAAGCACTCAAACCGAGTGATTTGGCAGTGCCAGTGTGACTGGATAATAACAGCTACAGTGAGCCCTGATGGCCTGGGCGGTAGGGAGACGCACTGCTAACCCGAAAGTGGTATTGCTGGCGATTTGCGCCCACCACCAGCTGGGCAAGACAATGATGGGCTTCTGGGGTGCAGTTTATAGGAGGGTCAGCTCTGAGATGGCTCTGACTCGACCGCAGTGTTTTAGTTAAATTACAGTGCGTTCAAATCCACTGCCATCAAGTCGGTACTCACCTTGACTCCCACTGAGTTTCCTGTGCTGTAAATCTCACAGGAATAACCTTCCCATCTTTGTCCCCAGGAACAGCTAGTGGGTTCAGAACCCCGGAGAGGCAAAGCCTTTCGGTTAGCAGCACAGCTTGCTGTGGACTCTTCCACCAAGTTAAAAATGTAATGAGCAGGGAGCTCTGGTGGCCTAGTGGCAAGAAGCTGCACTGCAATCCCAGAGGCACACAGTTCAAATCCACCAGATGCTCTGCTGGAAAAGGAGGGACAATCTCCTCCTATACCAGTCAGATCCAATTTGATGGTACACGCACACAAAATAATAAAATAAAATTTTAAAAAATGTAATGAGCAAATAGAGATTTAGCTCTGTGAATATATTGATATATATAAACTAAGCTTACAAAAAGAGCGTAAGCCACTGCAAAACTGATTTTGTTCTAACTAGCCCAAGCCTAGTGAGCTAAGTAGATGGCAGCCTGAGGAAGTCTGCAGGATCTTGCTATATCAGAATCAATCCACAGAGGGGTGCGGGCGGGAGTTTTGGAGTTTTCTCAGACTAAATCTTTTTAGCAGGAGACTGCACATCCTTCTCTAATTTCTTCAATCCACTGACCTGTCATCAGCTAGCAGCCCAATACAACACACTAAACCACCGGAGCTCCTTATAATTGAGCTGTGAGATATTTCTACTAAAGATAAGCTTCTAATGAAACACGGCACAAAAATTTTATAGTCCTTTTGCTATCACCTCCTCTGACTGTCGTGTGTCAATCACCATTTGCCTACATGCCACTGTTAATACCACTGTTGAATGGAATCCCCAAAAAGCTAACCGAAGTCACTGCTGGACCTGTGACTGTGATTGAACTAAGGGTGAGGTGGTCATGTCAGGATGAATGAGATCCCATTGGTAGAGGGTGCTGCCTAACCCAAGTCGCTCCCGTGTGCTGTCTCTGCAGAAGAGCCGGTGGTGGAGGTGTAACCACACGGGATGATGGGCATCATCTGATGACGTGCACAGGGCATGATGGATGCCAGGGTGGTGCCAAGTAGGTCCTCCTTCCCTCTCAGAAGCAAGTGCAGGGTCCATGCTGAGGTTTGGAGGTTTGTTGTTTACAGTCACTTGGTGGTGGTATCTTGTGATGCCATCTCCAGGAAGCTAATAGGCAGTGAAAAGCCATATTAATGAAATCAAGGCTTAGTCCCTTCTCTGCCTTTTGCATCTTCTCTGTGTCTGTGTCTTACCTCTTCCAAAAAATAAACACATAATAAAGGGTGCTGCTGAGAGGCCCGTTCTCTGCTTTGGGAGCCAAGCGGTACAGTGACCCAGCATGTGACTGCTGACCTGAGGTTGAAGGGTTGACACCTACCAGCCCCTCCGTGGGAGAAAGACGTGACCTCACAGATTGTTGTTGATATACCATCAAGTTGGAATTGGCTCAGCTGGCCCCCCAGTTAGTTTTCAAACACCTTAACTAGTACAGGAGGTACTTCTAATCCTTCTTCAGGGAGCAGCTAGTGGATTCAAACTCTACGCCTTTGGACTGAGAGTCTAACTCCTTACCACTAACCCTCATGCAGCAGTTCCCTGAGTGGAAATCCTCATGGCAGTGGGTTTGAGGGTTCTTTGGTTTCCTGGCTTCTCAGGAAAGATCTGGGTACATGGCGTCTGGACCCCCTGTGGTTTTCTCCTCTTCTCCCCAGGAGGAGCCAACCTCTGATGATCCAGGTGACCACTTAGCCAGGTGCACTGCGGCTCCCAGGAAGGCTGTCTCGAACAAGCCCTTCATTAAACAACAATGCCTGGCAGCCTTTTAAGAAAGACAGTGCATTAGCTAGTAAATATGACCTCATTTTGTTTAAGAGAAGAACCAATTTATTTATGGGTTCAGAGGTCTATGGTTGGAATCCCAGACGTCTCAAAGTGTTTCTAGTTGTCAACACACACCGCCCTTCACAGTCACAGAGTGCTCCCACCAGGTGGGTCAACTTCCTTCCACTCTCCATAAACATGCTGTGAGGAAGTGGGCTTGGTCACTTCGCCTGGATGTCCTTTCACCAGTGTTGGCATAACAGGGAGCATATACTTCAACCTTACTAGAAGAGGGAGTTGTTCCTGTTAGATGTCCCTAAGTCAATCACAACTTGTAGCAACCGATGGACCCCAGCTCAGAACCCCGCCCTGCCCTACACCACCCTGTTTTCTCTCTCAAGCTCAAGCCCGTTTTAGGATTCACTTTGTCAGCACTCTTTCTCTGTTCCTCCACCTTTCCTGGTACAGGCCATGGTCTTTGCAATCACTTGTTATGCATCAGAGAGCTGGACAATGACTAGGGAAGATAAAAGGAGAATTGATGCCTTGAGCTGTGGTGCTGGAGAAGAGTATTGAATAGACCATGGACTGCCAGGAGAACAAACAGATTCGTCCAGGAGAGGGTGAAGCCAGGCTGCTCCTTGGAGGATTCTGAAGCTTCATCTGATATACTTTGGGCATGTTGCAAGGTAGGATCAGTCCTTGAAGAGGGATGTCATTCTAGGGAGGGTGAGGGACAGAGCAGGAGGGGAAGAGCCTCGATGAGGTGGATTGATTCAGTGACTGGGGTAATAGGAGTGGGTGTGTCAGAGATAGTGAGATTGGCACAGGATAGAGCAGGGTCTAGAGCTGTTGTACTTAGGGTTGCTGTGAGTCGCAGGTGACTCGACAACACATAACAACAGTCAAGATGACCACCTTTTTCAGCAAGATGTCCATTTCCAAGGACCAGACCCTCCTGACAACAGGCCAAATATATATGAAAAATATCCCCTTCTTGCCTCTAAGGGATCACTCTGTTTGTACTTCCTCCAAGACAGATCTTTGCATGGGAAGTGTGTGGGGTATCCA